TATTAAGCAAAATTTGAACAATATTGACAGCTGTATGTAAGTTTTGCCCTGTTTCCCAAAGCAAAGCGCTGTTATGAACCTTTTGTAAAAGAGAATATTATTAGAAGCAATTATCATCAATTTATCTGGCACACGTTGTTCAATATATACGAAACTTAAAACTGACCACCCAAAATACTCTGCAAAATGCACGAAATCTGAAATAACCCAAAGATAATCAAGAATGGCATGATGAAATAACAGTTTATTAATGACTGAAATTATATAATACATAACTTTGCTTCGTCAGAAAGTCTGAGAAATGGTGAGGGTATTGGGGGGCTTATAATATTGGGATAAGTTGTCACTGATTATTTTAGTTGAAGATACAGAAAGGTGTGCAGAAAGGCGGAGGATACTTTCGTCCATTTCGTGGTCTCCTTCCATCAGGCAAGAAGGTTACTAAAGTCTTGGTAATTTCTGTTATCATCTCCTTCAAGTCGAAGGTTAATGTTCTGCTGAGTAATATAACTTATTTTGCTGACGTATAATTATTTATAGGAAATCAAAGCATTTGCTTAAATCTATACATTCTTTCAAAATAAAACATTGATCATTATAAAATATCATTTATTCAATTCTTGCAAAATGTAAAAATCGCTTTCGGATTGCTTCACGCTAATATGCGTTGATTTAGGCAATTAGAATTACATTAATCTTATTACTATTGCGCTGGATTACTTCAGATTGCCATTAGAACTTCCAAAGCAGACGGCAAATAATATTCCTTGTGGTTTCTCCGAAATTCGAACCACGGATTCACCAATTGGCAAAAAGATCGTCTTCGCTACGAAGACATAAACGATACATATATAAACACTAGCAAAACAGTTTTTCTTTCTCTCTTGGCTGACTTCGGGCTTGCACGAATATGTGGAGCTGCGGCGCTTGCATATCACACACTTATGAAGTGTCGTCGTTCTTTTGGATGGAAAAGAAGGAGCTGCCTAAAAATTGCACAAATTAACTTAAAATGATTGGGTGGAGATTTAATCTATATTAGAGAGTCATCCTAATGTAACTTGCATAGATGTAATGTGTTTTTCGCATGAAGAATCTGTTACCATTTTTGTCATCAGTTCATCTCTTCGTGTTAGTCAGCTTGTGATGAACAGAAGAATGTGTTTAAAAGAAATATCTGCACGTGGTGTAAAGCTCCATCTGCAATATGTGGGATTTAACATAAAAATATTTCCAGTAAGCAAAGTGTGCGATGTGAATATATTAGAAATTCATGTTCTATCTTCAACAAACGGCTCCATCTTGTCATTCTTCCGTTTATTCCGTATTCGTGTTCTTCTGTTTCTAGTGTTCGTCTGTTTCCAGTGTTCTTGTATTTGTGTGCTATTTTTGTGACTTGAATATCTATCCGATATTAAATATTAATAATTAATTCAATAAAGTAAGATTAAGCAAACAAGTTGTTCTCTGAAGACCTTTTGACATGTTTATGAGTAAGTGAAGTACTTTATTACTCTTTCAAAGCTCAATGTACTACCTATCGTTTTTCAAGCCAAACAAATATTGGACACGAGTAAATTGATTAAATACTTGTAGGTATCTGGGTTAAGATAGATTGTCACACCGCAACACCACAGTGGTTATTTCCTGCCAGCTCTAAGAGTTGTAATTATTTTGCTCTGCGGTCTCTCGCTGCCGACACTTTAAATCTGATGAGGTGGTTAAGTTATCGAATGCCAGCTTTTAATATAGCATTTACTTGTATTAGAAGCCAACTCAATAACTTACGAGCCGCGTCAGATTTAAAGTCACTGCGTTAAATTTAATTTTGACCGCCAGGCGTTAAATTTAAGTACGGCCTTGACTAATATCCGGCGTGAAATTTAAGGTTGAGTATTCTCTTAATCACCAAGAGTTGTAGTTATTGTAGCACATGACCGTGACCTTATGTTCGAAGATCAGCTTAAATAATAAGGTTATTATAGCTTTTTTGTCAATTATCACAGGTATAGTGATTTACGTATGTTAGAACTATAGGACTGAAATAGCATTACCAGATCAAATGTAACACCCTATAATGTTTTCAGTCAGCCTGATTCTAATAATTTTCAGAAGTAATATTTAAATGTTTACTTGAGAAATTTGAAACCAAAATACACTCATGTTAATAAATTAAGGATAATTCGGTGTCACGCGGAAACCGAACTCTAAAATAAATATAATACCTTTAAAATCACTACACGCATCTTCAAGAATCATATGCAAATTTCAGGAAGTAACCAGATGACACCGATGGTACGTCACAATGACGAGAGTGTAAGAGAGTGATATATAAGGAATACAGGCAAAGAAGTAAAACTGGTCTCAGGCGCTTTATAAGCATTTCAGTGCAAAACCGAATAGTTATGACACAAAGTACGCATTTGGATGATTTTTTATGTGGTAGAATTATCGTCCGTCTGGAATGTGGGCGTACCCAACTGGAAGTATCAGGTGAACTTGGAATTGCCCAGAGTGTCATCTCCAGGCTTTGGTAACGATTCCAAGATGATGGTAATGTGAGTAGACGTTACAACACAGGTCGCCCCAGAGTTACAACGCCGAATGAGGATCGGTATTTGGCAGTTACTGCCAAAAGAAACAGGCGGAGCACAGCCTCAGACCTGTCTCGTCAGCTCTCTTCAGCCAATGGTACGACAATTTCAAGGCAGACCGTGTACAGACGCTCAGGGCAGATTGGTCTATATGCTCGTAGACCTGTCAGCTGCATTCCACTTACTGCAACTCACTGTCGCCTGCGGTTAGCCTGGAGTAGAGAGCATGCATTGTGGACACCGCAACAGTGGGCTTGTGTGATGTTTTCCGACGAGTCCAGGTTTAGCTTGCAGTCTGATTCTCTCCGGACTTTCATATGGAGAGCTCCAGCTATCCGTTACCACCAAGAAAACATCATTGAACGACACCGTTACGGTTGCGCAGGAGTGCTCGTTTGGGGTGCAATTATTCTGGATTCCAGAACTGACCTGATTGTGCAAATGGGAACCATAACAAGCCAAATCTATCGGGACGTCATTCTGGAACAACATTTACGTTTGTTTCGGGGAGCCATGGGCGCACAATTTGTGTTTATGCATGACAACGCCCGTCCTCACCGTGCAAACATCGTAAGCGAATGCCTTCAGTCGGAGGATATCACACGTATGGACTGGCCAGCATTCTCACCGGACTTGAATCCAGTAGATCACGTGTGGGACATGCTTGGCCGACGAGTTGCAGCCCGTCATCCTCCTCCTACATGTCTACCGGAACTTCGGAGAGCATTGCTTTTTGAGTGGTGTAATATCCCCCAAGATCAGATAGATAATTTGATACTCAGCATGGCTAGGCGTTGTACGGACTGTATTGAATCGTCTGGGAGACATACAATGTATTAACAATCATACCAACCATTGGTATTTTGTAAATAATTGGTTTTTTGTAAATAATTTTTTTTGTAATTTGCTCCAGGGAGAAAACATCGGTAATTTTTTTAATAATATCAAACATATAGCATCTTTTTCTGCTCTTTACCTTTTGCTTAATAAATAAGCTTTACAAATAAGTCAAATTTGTTTTGCTTCTAACTCTTCCTTTGCCTGATTTTGCATTATCCTTAATTTATATGGACATGAGTTTAGCATACCCGTTCACTATGGTAAAATATTGATGCCGATATCTGCTTTGAAACATGACATATTATTTGCTGATTGGAGATTAGATTTCTATATAACAATAAATATTTGATGTCGTATGCCAAATGTGAAAATATTCTCTTCCTAAAACATAATAAAGGTATAATAATTTTCTTTTACAGACACTAAATAAGAAAATTTGTGTCTCAGATTCAAATAAATACAGTATAGCAATTACAAAAATTGAAACAAGGCTTCATTACAAACATCGGGAGGGGGGAAATGGTATAAGACAAATTGATTACTATCGTTTTTCAGAAACAAATTATGTTTAAGAAAAAAAAAAGCGTTATTAATATTAACTAAACTATTTAAGAAAAAGACAAGAGTTTGTTGTTTTTTTAAAGATATTTAAAATTAAATCATCTGCAGGTAATATGAAAACTCCTTCATTTAAAAGGCGGCAATCATTTGAGAGCCACATGAATTTTGAAAATAAAGCGCTATTGCCGCATTTAATATTTAGTTCTCAAAAGCATATTTACATTTAAATCTCACAAAAGAGGAAGTTAAATCTATTGGTCAAAATGTTAGTGTTGGAATCTTCAATAGGTTTCATTTAAAATGAATATTTTAATCAAAATAGAAATGAGTACGAATTCAACAGTGTCTTTTTTAATGAAAATGAGCAACCCGACGGTAAAAGTATCAATCACTTCGAGCGTTTTCAGTACCATTTTAACACTCTTTAAAAAATATCAGAAATAAGTCACTCATGTTATGTTAATAGTATACAAATTATCTAAATAAAATACTGTAATTTGCTTTGATTATTTGCGTATGTAAGTAAGTATGCCCGAAAGAGATTGATAGGGATTCTTCGAGATCAGCTTATGTCACATTAAACAAAACAAAACTTCCTCTGGAATAAAAATATAACACATTTACAAAGAAACTTTATATCCTCAAAGAAAATTCCATGGATTAAATTCTTAGTGTTCGTGCAGTGTTAATAATATTCTTTGACATTTAGAACAAAGCTCCTACTAGCAGTCCACTAGATAATAGAGCAAAGACCTTCAAAAGAGAAACAAGCTCAAGTTTCCCAGAATTTAAACTTCGTTTAAAAATCACTCTTTACAAATTATGCCAGGCTGGCAGTGTTCAGCATGTATCCGCCCTCATCCAATACCTGACGATAGAGGCAACATCGATTACACCTCCCACTCTCTCTTCTTCCCTACCAGAAAACTTTCCTTTCCCCTAGATGGCTCTGCTCCCGAAACGCCCCTCACGGCTAGAAGCAGAGCCCAAACAAGCACCAAAGGAATGCGTGAGTTTGAGTTTAGACTTCGTAGCCTTTCTCGACGAATAATGTGCATTGCCAGTCTTATCACGTAGAGTGCGAAGTGCTTCTGTGAGCCCAAACTAGTTCGCTACTTGGAAGAGGCACTAAAAAGGATTATGTATGCTCATTGCAGCTCTAGCAATGATTCTTCTTTCAAATTCAAGAAGCAAATGATCACCGAAGAATGCACTATTGATTAAGTTTACAGAATTGTATGAGAAATTAAATATTGAAATGAAGAACTGTAACAAACTTTCGAAATGTAATGTGTATGTTGGAAAGTTTCCCCGTTGAAAAGTGACGAAAAAAGCTTCTGTTAAGGTGAGTAACTTTGCTTGGAAAAAAAATCTGCTCGTTGAAAAAAAATCGCAATTTTAGAGTCGTCTTTTTTTTTTTTTTTTTTTTTTTTTTTTTTTTTTTTTTTTTTTTTTCAAGTTAAACTTATTAGTTTAATACAACGTTTGAATTTTTAATGAAGATGATAACAAATATTGTTTACATTATTAAGTAAGTTTGAATAATTTTATTAGAAATAGATTGAACTGCTCACTTTTAAAATATATGATATTGTCGGAACAATTAAACAGGTGACGTAGCAATTTTGTAAGTCCGCTTTTCCCATCTTCAATATTTAAAATGTATTATTAAGCTTAATATTAAAGATACAGATGGAGCTATTCTTAGCGAAGAATACCTGATTATGGTAGTTTAGAGATGATTTTATTTCATTACCTATTAATATAAAAATTAACCAGATATATAAATTCTTATGATAATATCTGCATTACGTATGATATAAAGAGTTATCTTAACGATATATATTTATCAGAGTATTAACTCTAACTACTGGAAAATTTTCAATATCTATTTAGAATGGACCGTATTCACTAAGTATGAAATATAGATAGATTTTTGTGTAAATAAACTTTTACCATTTTCTTCAATAATATACTTATATTTTTACAGCCATTCTGGTTAACCGAGGGCTGAGTAGATTTGAGATTATATTTTCGGCGTAGTCCGTCCACACCCTTTTAATTCGCGCACCACTTGCAGAGTCATTAGGTGATTTGAAGCAGGAAATGCGAAAAATATGCAGTACGCTAACCGGGATTCGAACATCGATTGTCTTGATTGTTAGCCGGACGTGCTGTTCAGTTACAACACGAAGGCATGAGGCAAGAAAATACCTAATAACATTAATTTAAATGTTCTTGCAGGTTTACTAAATAGTATCAATATGAGATATGCCAAGTTCTAATTAATCATATATCTTATTTTTTGTAGGTTATTTGGAATAATATTTTATTTATGCAGCATTTAATTTTTTATATTTTATTAAATTTTAGTATTTGTTTTAATCTAGTGCTCTTGTTCTTGCTGATTAGGCATTTAACTACATTATGACATTAAGAATTATGGATATGCTACATTATGGATTTATTAGTCATATAATCGTCTGTTACCCATGTTACGCATTCTGAAGGACCTGAAATGCCTAGTGCACACCTCAATGAATGACTGATAATACATCCTTAAAAGGGAGTTAAGACAACACGTATACAATCAAGACTTGCAGAACAGTTAAACTGCCGCCTTTTGCTGATAGTAAACGACAGTATTCGCTAACCATTCACAATCGTCTCGATGGTAATTTAATAGTGATATAAAATTAATACATGCTTAAAAATTTATTTCAAATGAATTTTTAAAACAGATACTTTGGGGCTTCTATAATTAAGACACAATAACACGCCGAATAAATACTAATTCAGAAGTCAAACAACAAAAATCAGCGTACAAAATTTTGTAAATTAACGCTGATTTTTGTTGTTTGACTTCTGAATCAGATACTTTGGGTTAAAATATTCGGTCAATCTTTGGATTATGGTAACTTGGCGATTTTGGGCGAAAATTTGGCGACCCACCCTGCTACAGCATTCTGCTAGTTTTTTTTTTTTTTTTTTGGGGGGGGGGGGGGGGGGGGGGACGCCATTTTTTTTCACGAAGTAAACGCATTTTTTTTTATTTTTTTTTTATATTATTTTATTACATTTTTTTCCAACAATCTTCTAGCCGAATTACGCTTATGCTAGAACTTTTATGGAACAAAAGGGCTTAATCATGACGAAGATTAGGTGCGAAACTAGGAGAAAGTGCAGAATCGCCCACTGCTTGCCGCATTTTTAAGAATGGCACATACACGGTATCCATGTACACGTCGACCTATTTTCACTTAAAAAAAACATCCCAGAATTGCACAAAAATGGCATTGCACACACTCTTGACTTTATCCATGTACACTACTAAAGTCCTACCTAGTAACCTTTATCGTCTTACCAAAATGTCGCCAAACTACCTGTTATCATATTCCAAAGATTAGCCGAATATTCTACAAATATGTAGCGTACAATTGCTAATGCAAAATAACTATGTATGTGTTGACCTACTTTTATTTATTTATTTATTTGACATCTGGTTATCCAACATAAGTGCTCCTTTTGACATCTGGTTATCCAACATAAGTGCTCCTTTTCGGAGAATATATTGAACAAAAGATGATAACATTGTAGGGAATCTTAGGATTTAAGAAAGCAAGAAATATAGGTGAATCTTTATATTTTGCCTCATTGTAAGAGCAATAAGTTGGATCAAGAAACCCATTCGACTAATCCCAAATGGAGATGAGCTGTCGTACACTGTCTTTTAGATCAGGTGAATAGGAAGCATTATAAAGCAACAAATGAACTCACCGAAGTTCGAAATACTGATCTTCTTTCTAGTGGGATAACAGGTACAATATAAAAGACCTACGGGGTACTGTGAGTATTCCATATTCAGCTTTTAAACAATTTTCATCGAAAAACTAACTAATTCAGATGCACTGTAACTGCAGTCAATTTCTAACTGTTAATTGCATATGCTGCTAAATTAACGGTTATTTAACCTGTTATTTATATATGTCTTTCAACTTATAGATGCAGTTCAAATTCGCTGTAAGGCATTGGTTTGGGACATTATAAAATAATAACGGTCTTTACTCAAAGTTCCCCTCTTAAACCTGGAGCTGATATAATTTTTATGTTTGAAAGCATAAAATGCTTAAATTTCCCAACCGATAATAAATAGAGGGTACTGATTTAAGAGATTTCATATGATTTACTACTTCCATTTTCTTTAACAAGCATACACGCAATTTTGTTAACTAGGAAGCTGCAGTGAAAAATAACCATGAATTCATTAATTTCCGGTTGTTTAAATCTTGTTATGTTTACTGCATTTGCCATTACAGGCTGTTTTGTTTAGTGATAATTTGCAGAATTGTACAGGAATTCGATATATTTACAGTACTAAAAATAAGTAGAGTCTATGTTCAACTTAAAGTGAGAATAAATCCGTTCCTTTGGCGCAACCACCAAATGTATCGATAGAACTGGTGCTGGATGTTTTTGATGTGATGCAGGGAAAAGGTTAGTCAAAAACATGTTTGCATTTCGTTAGCTTTCGTGGATAGCTTTTAAGACTTGTTCGTATATCCAGCCATCAAATGGACAGCGGTTTAGGAGTTGCATCAGCCGTCTCAACAAATAACATACTAAAGCTGCATAAAAATAATTAGTTTTTGAAATAATGTTATAACATTACTAGTATTCGTCTGTCCCTACTTTTATGACTTAAGAAAGAATAAAAATATTGATTTTGAAAATCTCTTTATATGCTATAAAGATTTCGCACAATTATGTAAATCTGTGATGAAATTTATTGACGGTGAGCGCTGGGCAGTGGGAATCAGTGTATGATAGTTATTACCATCATTATTTGGTCTATTTTACTAATTTGTTGTTACCATTGTTTGTGTTTGTTGTTCGCGTTTTAATTTTCTTCTTGTATGTTTTTGTCTTTGGTGTCTGCTCTTGTCTAAATGTTTGCATTTGTTCTTTTTCTTCACTTTTATGTTTATAATTATTATTAACACATAATTATTCTCATTTAGATATTTTATGTTTAATTTTTTTCTTTGTTGAAATGGGCGTGGCCTGTCATGACCATAAGACCAACTTGTTTGGTTAGGCGGGTCGGGCTGCGCCCGCTATTAATACTGATTGCTAGTATTCGTAGAATCTTCAATGAGAACGGATGTAGGAGGAGATAATGGAGTACATTATGAATAAGAACTCATTACTTTGAAAACGGACTACATTATAACGTAGGAGTCATAATTGCATGCGTATTTCACTAAATTATGATATTTCTGCATAGTAGCATGAATGGGAAACGCTAACTAATGCTGCTGTAGGAATAGATTTAGGCCATCTTCTCTTCTCTTAGAAAAAAATCGATTAAAATGTTGTATGCAAGAGTAGGGTATTGGAATCTTGTTTACTTACTGTACGGTCCTGATTGGTGGTGGACAAGTTTCACGATCATTTCATCTACTCGAAAAACCTCACATTTCATCATCGACTGCTTGATCATAATTCCTTCTCGAACACGAAGATAAATCTCTAGTGTGAGGAATTCTTTTGAAACAGCAGTGATAATCGTAAAGTTGAAGGCGACGGAAAAGAAGGCTTATGTCGTGATTCTACCTTCATCATCAACACCTGAAGCTTTTACTATTATTTGCAAATTTATGAAAATACTTTTACTACGAGAGGCCTAATCTTTCGTTAGAGCAACAGAATGCTAATTTCGGAATTCCTATCCGTATTTGCGTTTGTTCGGAATTTTTTGCGAGCCGTCCAGGAGGTAGAGTGGTTAGGGAAGCCAACTGCGATTCCGAAGAGCCGGGGTTTGAATCTCGGAGAAGGCATAGATATAAATGATCTGTTCCCTCATAGGAGGTAACGGTAGCCGCCTATTAGGTGCCTCCATAATAAAATGACCACCACTCCTGGCTTTACTAGTCACGAAAGCCTAAAAAGTAGAAAATCACTTTTTAAATTTATTTATGACAAATGCAGGGGTTTATCTGTTTAAAAATAATTTGTGAAGGGCTTATGGCTGGAATTCGTATTACGCATGAAGTAAACATGAATCTAATATTTCGACGGGATTCAAAACGAAGTCGACTTAGCAGTGTTCAGCTGTTCTATTCATTCGCCCATTAGGTTGGTCCGAAAGCGTTCGAATTTATAATGTTACGGGCATACGGGTTTGTAATGGATTGAATGCACACAGAAAAGATGAAAGAATGATTAACTTTATTTTCTAGAAAAAATAAATCGATTCACCGCTCTGGAACTTTTTACACAGACGTACTAGTACAGCTCTTGTCAGTATGGCACAGAACAATTAGTAGTTATCACTTCAAACTACTA